AGACTTAGCGACTACTTTATTTCGTGGGTACCGTAAATACGTAGATTTCTTACGACCGCTTTCTATACTCGATCCCAATCTAATTCTACTACCTACTACCATTTCTCATTACTAAATTTCAATTACCGATCGATGGATCGAAAGTCAATCTGATTTGTAAACCTTCTTTGGGAGGACCGATCGGTATTTTACGATTGATATGTATGAAAATGACAGATCGACGCTTTCTATAAAATATCTTTGAATTCGACAGATTGAATTTTGACATTTATCAATCTAAATTTGCGATCTTTCCACTTTGACCGATTCACGATTGTTGCGGTGCTGTTTTGTTGTGTAATGTATAGCTAACGAGAACAAACATCTTCGATTTCTAGGAGGGACTAAAATGGCCGTAATGCCAATTCCTTATTGAACATTTTCTTTTGTGGGTGATACCTCTATGGAATGAACTCCCTGGGATTTTTGAGCTTTCCTCAACACTGATTTTTTTTTAAATTAGTTGAAATTTTCTTATCCCTAAATACACACGCATCAGCATTTGCTGCTATTGTACCTTATTTTACTGTACTGTTTTTTTTTTAATTTTCTGGTGTCTGTAAAATTAAAAAAAAACTTATAAAAATACAAAGTATAACATTAAACACCTTGTGCGTTAACAGCCCCGCAAGATGATTAGTCTACGAACTCTACTGCATATCACCTGTATTCATTACGTAATAGCATAAACGAATCAGAATTGATATTTATGACACCGTTGGTGGACTGAAATGTGTTTATTCGGAATTCAAATATGTACATGTACGATCCTGACACTGATTACTTGACATGCAGGGAAAGAAGAATTAACAAAAGTGAAATCGTTATTTTCACTCTGTTGATATTCCGGAGATATTAATATCCCGCTTCAGTGACAGTTACGAAGTAAAGTTATGGAACTTTGTAAAAAGTTACCGCACTACGTTCGTAGTAAGAAGCCTTAGAAGAAAAATAAAGGACTTACAAAAACTTCGGTGTTGCTGTAGTTAACAAGAACAGAATTCGATTAAAAAAATGTTAAATGAAATTATAATAAAGCTATAGCGAATATAGAAGTCTAAAGTTCGAAAAAAAATATGTTTAATTATTGTTGCAATTTAAAATACATCGCATATCATATTTCATGTATCTCGATGTATTGACAAGGCCGTCGACACTCGGGGTCACAGTGTGTAACACGTACAATGGAATAAAGTAAGAATTGGATTTTTTATCAACTTTTATAACTTTATTTTTATTTTTATCTAACAATCGAAAATTAATTATCATTATAATTATTCAAATCAATATTAAACTATCATATTATGTCAAAACAACTGTTAGCCAACTTACTTTCAAATCTAATGTGTGTATACTGTGGTATGTCGACTAAACAATTAATAATTAATAGCCTCCACACAATAGCCAAGTTTATCTGCTTGTCCATTAGAGACTGTCCATATGCCTTAGTAAAAACAAGCACTTGGTACTATTGAAAGATACAAAAGCATTTAAGTCTTCAACCAAGAATGTAAAAAATTCAGATTTACAAGTTCTTAGTACTTTCAAAATATAGTAAAGCAATATTACTTACATGGTATTTATAATTTTACTAGCAGAACGGCCAAGCGTTGCTGTGGCTAAGGTTTTTGTTATATTACATATTAGCCAACTAGTCAAGGGAAACGGTAGGAGAACACCAGTCATGGGGACCACCATGCTTTTTTGGTGGTTATGTCATTAAATTAGAGCTTATGTGAAACATTGGTACTTTCAACACAGCGCCATCTGTTAGAATTGTGACAAATATTTTACAATACAATAATATTGCGGGTTTAAATTGAGATGTAAGCTATCCTATCTTTTAAGTTGGATCAAACTACACTTGGTGTGCAAATTTGATTGATATTGGTTCGGTAGTTTAGGAGTCCATAGCAGACAAACAACGTGACACGTAATTTATATATATTAAGATTATTGCAAATATCATTATGCACTACTATAACATAAGGTTCCAACATATCATCATAATACATAGTAATATTAAACAAAATTTATTATATTTACATGTTTGTATGTTGTCTGATCCTGCACTATTTAAGCAAAATGTTTAGTTAGAAAACCCTGATTTATCATGTTTTGCACTTCTGAAAGTAATAATATTAAAATTAATAGTATGTGCAATACTAAAATTTACTTATAGTTCATGTTCAAGGGTATCTATCTGTATTCATTGAACAGTTAAAATTAAATTTAAGGAGTTAAGTAGGTAGTAAAATTATTAGCAAGCCGTGAACATGTGAACATTATACGTTATCTCTCAATTAATTAGCAAAGTGCATCTGAGCACCATTTAAGGCAATTAGGAAGTGGTAGCATATTGAGATGTAATTAAGGCTTCGCTGAAATGTTCATTTCTTGTATTATCTGTTTGATATTGCTTACTGGCTTTCTGTCTGATGTAGGATTTTAAGGATTCTGCATTGCAAGTATAGTTACATAATAATAATAAAGAATTAGTAGAAACAGATTAGAATTTTATGTTATTTATTAAAAATTCAATGTAAATATTGAGACATGTTTTAAGTTCTGTTAATGAATGATGAAAATTGTTATAAGAACAGGGAATACAAATTAAAAAATCAGATTTGTAGTCATGTTAAGACGCTCCTGAAATAATTAACTGAACATCAATCAAAATAACTTCAACAGGCTTTTATTGTATAATTTAGATTTGATGTTTTAACAAAAATATAGTGCATATATATATATTAACTATCTTTAACTTCTATGTCTTATATATGTCTGGACACTGGACAGCTTAGTCTTATATATTTTGTATTCTTGTTTTAAACCTTCAATGTTAAGCCTTAGTTTATCAAGAATGGAATTGCAAAGTTTTAATTTTATTTTGGAAATTATTGTATGTTTAGCAGGGTTTAATTGTTTACCTGACCTTAAATTGTGTTCTTAATGTGAATATTACATTAAGTTTATTAAAACTTAATTTTTATAAGTGACACAGTATTACACCCAAGATTCATTATTTACTGGATTACCAAATATTTAGTAGTGTTAAGACATTTTTATCCGTCATAACATCCGACCTTTGTAAAAGAGATATAAGTCCAATGTAATACAACGAATTACAATAGATTATAAAAGAAAGGGAGTCGATATAAAATATTAAAACATTACTCTAATAAGATTTCAATTCCTACTTCTACCGTCTGACAGGGCCTATTGAATTAACAACTACTTACCCTTATCAGCCGACTTAAATTCACTGAGGAAGATAACACATAATCACAACAACATTAACTTTAAAGGATTAATAAGATTTATGGGCCTAATGCGATAAAAACATGTAAACTTTGACATAAAATATCAAACGAAAAGGTACGAGTTACGACCGCTGGAAGGCGCGCCACTGTACTGGGATACCATACTCAAAACTCAAACTTCGAATCTTGTAGTAAACAGCTGTTGATATTACCAGCATAAAATATAAAAACTAAAAGTTATGTGGTAATATATCACGAAGAAATATAATTACTTTTAAACGTTAAAGCATTTAATTTTAAAATTAATTAAATAAAGGTTTGGCTAAATTGGGACTATCTTAATCTAAGGGTAAAATTTTAAAATGATTGATTTGTAAATAGAACTGATTAAAATATCTATTTCATATAGGCTATTTTTACCCAAATGTTTTCTATCACCAGTCAACACAATCTGGCGAAATATGCATACGCAAACCAATTATTCGTCTTGTTCACTCTAATTCATTTCTGTATATCGCTCACCCAGTTTTGTAATTATTTTAAGAACCAATCAAGTTCTACTGAGTAGTAGGTACTTTATCTAACTTGTGTTGTACTTTTTTATGGTAGAACTGACCACTTTTGACTCCACTGTGAATGAGAAATGCGAAAGCGGCAATGAAATGAACAAACATGTCCAGAAAATTATGTGATAATATTTATTTTGTCAAAAGTAACCTACTTCGGAGAGTTATTTTAAAATCAATAAGAATTTCAAATAAATTAATTCGAGATTGGTATTAATCTATATTAAAATTTATCACTTTAGGTAATAGATAAATATGTACGTGCAAGATTGCTGTTGCGATTTATCTCGCGGATTGGAAAAATAATTAATATATTTTAATGAGTATAAGCAGACTGTTTAAAACTATTATCAAACGAAAATGTTACATTCATCTTATGCAGTTTTTTATATAATAGGAGCCATACCAACCTACGGGACGCCCAAAAAGGGCAATCATCGCAGCCCATGAACACCCATTTTTATTGGGTGCGTTGCCGGCCTTTGAGGGAGGAGTACACTCTAACTTTGAATAGTTAGAGGTCGTATCTCTCAGGGAAGACCCCCCACCGGGAGTTGATTCCACAGTTCGCTAGTTCGAAAAAGAAAGTGCCTTTTGAAACGGACCGTGGAAGACGCCATCAAGGTGATGTTGATGAAATTTTGAGTTGATACGGCTCGTACGGTGTTGAAACGAGGCAGGAGGGATCAACCCAAACAGGCAAACAATTCTTCAGAACACTCACCATATTAGGTACACTTTGTAGAAAACGCAAAGAGACGCAATGTCTCTGCGTAGACAGAGAAAGAATCAAGCCGATCAGTAATAAATTGGGGATTGACAATAAATAAATTATGTAAATGTAACTTAGTGTAGTACATTCGTATTTAAAATGTTTAATTCCTATGTCTCACAACACCTTCATTCATATTTAAACAATTGTAAAATTTATTATTTTATCTTTATTACAGCATAGTATCTTTTGTCTTACACGTAGGTATATATAAACTTCAAAATCCTAATTATTAAAAATATTAAACAACCTGTATACTAATGCACGCAAAGATAAAAATAATGAGTCTAATCTGTTTAATTCATATGTATATAAATACAAGTCTGAATTCAGATTATATTGTCCGGTGTCTCTGACAAAATGGTTTGCAAAACACTCTGCTTCGCGCTCGCAGCATTATGCGCTGGTATGTAACATCAAAAGTATACTTGATTGTTATTTATAAGACTATATGACTATCCAAAAATTAAGAGAAGCTTGTATCTTCTGAGCAAGTAGGCCTTATAAATTGTTTGATAATGATTTATGCTGTTGACTCAGACTCCGTTATAGCTCGGATCTTATAACTTTCCTGGAGACAAAAAATCGGTTTGCAAAGGTTTGTCGAAAAAATACTATCTCTGTCACAAAAACATGACTAAATAAGAATCACATGGATTTTTTTCAATATATTATATAAATTACCTTTTATTTTATTTCTAGCATCAGCAGCTCCAGAAGGCCGCATCACAGGAGGTGCCGACGTTGATATTACCGAGGCACCTTATATGGTATCTCTGGTTTACCATTACCCAAGACCCAACATCTACATTCAGCGCTGTGTGGGAAGCCTCATCTCTTCCTGGCACATACTTACCGTGGCTTATTGTTTTACGTAAGAATTTGAGGCATATTGAATTGAAACCAGGTCAGCTACCTAGGTCTAGTCGACTGACCTGGTTTCAATTATTTTTGTTCCCATGAAAGGCTTAGTAAATAAAATTAAACAAAATAAGTATTACTTTTAAGGTACATATAATATATCTATAACATTACGAAACATTTAAATCAGAGATTCTTAGTTAAGTGTTAATTATTATTATTTTGAAAGTAGTCGTATTATTACAAGAGTTATCACTGAAGTTTACCGAAATCATTTTTTACAGTGGAGCAATCCAAGACAACTTCACACTGCGAGCGGGATCCTCTAATAGTCTTTCGGGCGGCGTTACTTCCACCATCCAGCAAGTCATACAGCATCCAGACTACGTAGCGACCCCGAGACAAAACGATATAGCAATTGTATTTGCAAAAGAACCCTTCAGAATCACAAATGTAGTGAACAGTTTACGTCTCCCACCTCCGACATTTACCCTGACAGATGGTGCTATTGGCGTAGTCACCGGATGGGGATTCGATAAGGTGTGTGTTGGTAATTTTACCATTATTTCTTCAAATGTAATTGTATGAAGAAAATAATCTTTACGAATTATTTTCTTCGAACGATCTTTACCGATTATTATTATTGAAAAAGATTTTAATTCTCTAAATCTGCAGAAGAGAAAAAATTATCTAAATTTATTTGTAGGAGCAAGCCGATGGTGGCACTCAGCATGAATCCCTTAGAAAAATTGAGTTAAGAAAAGTACCTGCAAGTACTTGTACCACCGCCTTCTCAGACGTTGTCGACGTTTCCATTACTGACAGTAAGTTAATTTATTTTATGTAAGACAATTAATAATATCTTCTAATGAGAATATTTGAATATGTATCTCCATCAAACTCAGCTTCAGTAAAATTGTAAAGAAATTGCTATAGAATTTGCAAAGTAACATCTAAAACCACCGTAACGATACTTATTAATAGATTAATTGAGAAGTGCTTCACCTGCGTCAATACTAAATCGTCGGTTTCTTACTTACTCTTGACTCAGAACGTGGAGCCTACTGAGAAGAACTCACATAAAAATCGGTGGTAGTTATGTACTAATTTAAAGAAACTAATAATATTTTTAAATTAAATCCGAAATTCTGTTTACAGCCGTTTTTTGCGCGACTGAAACAGACAAGGGAATATGCTTTGGCGACGCCGGCGCACCTTTCGTATCAACAGTATACAACAGTCAAGCCTTAGTAGGTGTTTCGTCCTACTACCAAGACTGCGGATCAACTTATCCGGATATTTTCGTGCGGGTGGAGAAATACTCCAATTGGATTTTGGAAGTGGCTGTTGCACCCAGCGGTAGACGTGCTGTGGAAGGCGACACGCCCGCAATTGCTTAAGATTTGTAAGCATTAATTAATTGAAAGTGGGCATCGAAAAGGTCTAGTTAAATTATTATTCCTAATAATAGGAACATTTGTGATATAGTTAATAAATAACTTAAATTTTCAATTATTTACTTTTATAGCGGAAACAGAACCATAACTAGTTATAATATTGATTTTTGTGTATGAAAATAATGAAATAATTATTTAAAGCACAAGGTGATGTTTTTTGTCAATCTTAATAGTAAATAAAAATACATAATGTAAATATACAAAATATATTTATTAAGTAAACCTGTATAATCCAAATTCCATCAAATATTGACAACACGGATAGATCATCTTTGGAACAAACTTCAACGGGCAAGACAGTTGCGGTAAAGGCACTACATATTGCTTAAATGACTGCTATAATATCTAGTTCTATAAAGGTATGCTAATTAATGGGTCAAGCACAAATATTCTAGATAATTAATGACCAAAACAATTATCGACTGAAGTACAAAATCAATCAATTATTTTGTTTAAATACTTTTGTTCTCGGGGCATGGCGAACAGTATTAAAAATGTAATCTAAAGAGGCACACTTTTTGGATAAAAAAAATATACAACAGAATATACAGCCTTTTATAAAAACAAAAGATTTTAATTGTTGACAATATTTTTCTTCTTAGCATACCTTTACTTATAACATCTATAATTAACAAATAACTATAAAGATACCCAAATATCATTTACCTACGACAAACAGGGGGCACGTAATTGCATTAACACTTACAAAAATTACACCTACAAAATATATGCGCATGCGCAGTACCTAAAATTTAACAATAAGTACACTTACAATTCCATTTTTCACTCGGTGGTCCCATTTTATTTCAAATTTCAGTCAAATTACGTTCTAAAGCTATCCACAAAGCTAGGTTTCTTACACATAATTCTGGAGCCAAACCAGAACATGAATTTATCGGCTTTAAGTTTTTATCCACAGTAGAAATCAAGTATAATTGAATAGCAAACAACTCCTTAATTTCTACAAGTCGTAAATGTTTAAGGAAACTAGCTGTCTGACTCTATCAAGGACAACGTAACAATTACGATTGAACCCATTACATTTGATATTGGTGTCTGCACCTTATATGACAAGGATTTTGCCTGGGAGAAAGTTCTTGTCACGTTACAAAGCAAAATACAATTATTTTACTTCCGCGCATCTAAAGATGAAAACTTTTATGTATGCAGTTCTCAAGTACATTTAGCAGACAAATTGTGTGCTTAATCTAAAAGTAATATACGATAAATACTACAAATTATGTGCTTATATTTACAAGTGGAAAAGTTACGAGATTCTTATTTACATTCGCTAGTTTGAGATTTTATGCAGACTTCTTGATTTAGCTTAGCAATATAGAATCTTTATATTTAGAATAATCACCAAAAATATTTTTAAATATTTGTTCTAGTAACTGACTACTATAGAAAGTGGAAAACTAATTTCGAAACAATTCAAAACAAGTTTTTACATCAAACCAATTTACTTTGTGATTTTTGTCTTTTGTTCGGGGGTCTTCAATCAAAATGCAATTGTGATATCTCGTATTATAAAACACCATTTTTAATGATTCATTGTGGTCCTATATTAAATGTCAGCGCCTAGTTTGACATCAAATCATGTCAATCAAAGGAGCCTTCAATGTCTAAACTTTTTTATATTTTATACGGACTCGATTCGCTTGTAATTTACGCGAGATGCTTAAAGAATTGAAAAATAGTTTGAAATCACAATAGTGAATTCAGTGAAGTCTTTATAAAATTCATTTGTAAGAAAAAATCCTAAGGTTTTAAATATATAAACAAACATGTCTTTAGAAATTTCATCTATATTGCCTGCTGCCATAATCTTAACAGTATTAAAGCTTTATTACTAACCCTATACTACAATAGATTACATTTTATTTGAGTACAGCACACGGTTACTGGTTTTTACAAAAAATCCAACAAATTCATATTTGTAGTGTTCGAATTTACAAATTCAAAGAAAACGGTCAAAGTCTGTTAGACCGAAATACTGGCACAATACAAGTTAATTCAAATATATGAAAGAATGAATGAGTGGAAAGTTTATTTGCGTAGTTAAAAGCATACGGTATAGTTTGGAATAGTAAGAACTAGATTATCTTACGGGTTTCATTTTCAAAATAAGTTTCAATAGCTACGACTCACTGATGTTGGTAAAGAGAAATACTGTTAATTTATTACAGAGATATACATTTTGTATTTTGGGTTACAGGACAATCAAGTGTATGTAGACCTCGAGAGACCCTTAAAAGCAACGAAAATAATGTATGACTTGCTCTAGCCTTAATAATATGCAGGTCTGTGAAATGTTCGTAACAATTGAAAAACGCATTCTTAATTTAAATGATTGTTTGTCATCCTTTAACTATTTAGCACAAGTCCGGATATGTATAGAAAATACTTTCTACGAGTTTAGTAGACAATTTTCAAAGGTTAACTAATGAAAAATAGTATTTAGTTTAACAGTTCAGTCCGGTGGTAATACCGTGAGGGTGACAGTGGTGCCTGATCTCTTAATGAGGGCCACTACTTCGGGGTGAGGCAGGTTACGGACCGGTAAGTGGTTGATAGCCACTATAGTGTCTCCAACGTGAAGGAGACCGCAGCGAGCCGCTGGAGAATTGGCGATTAGTTGACCTGAAAAAAAAAAATAGTTAAACGAAAAGTACAACATTTTTTATTTCTTGGTCATTATATTTAATTTAATCACTGTTTGGTCAATGTGATTTATTGTGTTCGTATACGCCCATTACTTCTACAATCTACAAGAAAGTAATAATCACACTTCGACTTTATGAAAAGTCATTTTGAATGATTGTGGCCGGTATACGCGTATAAGGGTACGTACTTAACGACAAACAATTACGTATATGTTTATAAACTTACCTATTGTACTTGTTGCTTTATTGGTAGATGAAATAACGACGAATCCAAAGCCCTCTCCTTCGTTTCTCGTCACTGTGACGTCATACGGCACTGTCCAACCACCGCCTGCCTCATATTGGACGCCGTACCTGTAAGTGATATCAACTTTTACATTGGTATTAAATTATAGTTTATGAAAAAAACGACAGTCGACTACAAACTTAAAATGTTATTTTTAAATGTTTAACAGTACACATAATTTATAGAAAACAGGTTTAGTCGATATCAACTCTGGGGAAATAAATACAGATAATATAACTTTTTCTACAGCTGTGATACTTTTTGACATTCAACTCCAGTCTTCAGTCACCATGACCACGCACGCGAAACGTCGGAAAAATTATGTAAAATAATTATAAGTTTATAATAATACATAGCTTCAATTCGTTGAAAAAGTAATTTTTTTTTAAATAATACAATCTATGTTCCGAAATCTTCACTGAACATAATAACTTTTAGTAATTGAACGTTTTGTCCAGCAACACTAAACATTATTGAACATTTTTTACGTTCTTTTTTAATGGTATATATAAAGGGTATAAATTAAAACTATGATTTATTTCAATTAATCACTTACATAGGTGCAGCCGGTGGGTACATGGGTGCTGGGTGAAGAATATTATAAGAAGCTGGTACGTGAGCCACCGGAGGTTCAGCCCTGAAATATTTAATATAACTATTACTGTGTAATAAGTAAAAAACCGTTGCCTACTTTCTCCGTGGTCTTTTGAGACGAAGATTTACATCCATAACTGGATTTCGACACGTACTTGTAAAATAAATGTGCTTCTAACGACATGACACTTATATTAAAAATACATACGGAAGCAACGGCTGGTGTTGATGAGCAGGTACTACAGCTGGAATTCCCAAAGGCTGAATATCCGCTCTGTTGTGTCTCACGCCTAATGTCACCTGTGGTTATTTTAAATAGAAAATTAAGTTTATTTGTTGATTATATTATTTACGTTTCATTGCTAAAATACTAATCAAATTTTTTTGACAAAAATTCTCACATGTCCTCTAGACGCAGCCTGGCATACATAGGCCACCGCTCGCGCATGTGTAGCGCCACTTAGAGGAATTCCATCTACTGATGTCAACAGATCTCCCGGGCGTAGAAGTCCGTCGGCTGGACCACCTACGCAGAAAATAATATTATTAAAGCAGTAAACAAATCAATTTGTTTATTTAAGGTAAGCGTACAAAATCGGATTTGTTTTGGTCGAGTATAGAATATTTTTATTTACGGCAATCATCATTCAAAGCAAAATTCACATTTAGTAAAAAAATAATAAAAAATAAATGGAATAAGTTATAAATACAATCAACCCCAAAAACTAAATTCTCTAGCACAATGACAGTTAAATATTTGCGTTGATGGAAACCATAAAAAAATATCTTTAACTGCAATATTGTATGAAATTCATTGTAAAAATCTTGTGCCTATTTCATTTAAAAACCGATTACGTGTACTCATTTAAATACACACTACGAAACAAAAATAAAACAGCGACTAAGAGTGACGATATCAGAATAACTAATTAAACAAAAATCTACTTACCTGGTACAACATAACCCACCGCTACGCGGCTGCCGTCTTCGGTGCCACCAACAATACGGAATCCAAACCCTGCACTGCCGCGAGCTAGACGTACAAGGACATCTGCTTCGGGGTCAGTTGAGCCTCCAGCTTCGACCTGTGTGATACAGAATAAGGTATTTTTTAGGCAAGCCAAACTACTAACGGAAACAGCCACTGGACAAGAGAAGTAGTGAGACAAAGATCATGAAACCAGTATGGTAGCAGGTCCACCATCTAATTACCTAATAAAGTGGTCTAGTATACTACGTCTCCTATTTTTCTTAGAATGACGACATAAACAATTTCAGATAAGAAATTTGTCAGAAAGTAATGTCAAATCGTTTTAAATTGGTATTAACTATATATCCAGTACCTAACTATCTTAAATTTCAATTATTAAACACATTTTTCTTCAATATACCTGGGGATAATTAGCGACATATCCAGATTGCTGCATGTCGGCGTCGAAGCAGGACGCTGATCTGTGTGAAACGGGCGAGTGGATGTGACGAGATGGAGATGGATCGCGGAGCCTGTTGGTATTTAAGTCGAGGGTTATTCATCGGTTCCGGCAAGTTTAAATTTAAATTTAGAAACATTTAAATATTTGATTGTTATATCAGCTAAAAGTGTATAGAAAGATCATTTAATAAAGTATGTCAAAATTAAAAATTCAAAAATCATTTATTCATGTAGGTGACAAAATGTACACTTACGATACATCAAAAAATAAATTTATATATGAAATGATTCCAATTTTACATTTACTGCCAGTTCTCAAATCAAGGGCGTAGAACGAAAGACAAGAACTGGCAATAAACTCTCCGCCACTCTTTTTAATCGTTCAGTTTTTTGTTTTACACAATGTTTGTAATGAGCTGCAACCATTACACCATGACACATGACATATTAATTAATTAATATTAATAAAATAAATTAAAAACAAAGATTTGTCCTCTATCAGCAGGAGGAATGGTGAAATAGAAGCACGAACTTACAATCTCGTGGGAACAACACGCAAAAATACTTATTACAAAATATTATACTATTTAAGAATCATGAATGACAAAGCTATATAATATTTTATTGGTTACTTTTCAGTGAATATAAAAAGAGATATTATATAAATGGGACGGTCCGGTCTTTTCCCTACCTTTTCTAGGGTAAATATTACAAGTTAATTCTACTCACCTCGCGTAAATAACAATAGTTATAGGTCGTCGAGACATAAGCCTTTGTATAAAGCATGAAACAAAAAGCTAAAATAAAGGAAAGCATGCGGTTATTCTTTAATCAACTATGGTAATGGATTTAGAAAAATCTTTCGCATTTAGGCATGCTTAGAGAGAAATGCAAGAAAAAGAGATAAACGTCAAAACTAATTTCTTTTCGTCACGGGGGACAGTTTGTAGGTATGCAGGTATTTTTGAGAAGCATAACCTTAAAAACTAAATCTGCAAAAATAACTCGCAAATTAACGTGCCGATAACAATACTATAAAACTACTGCTCTACCGTATTATTTAAATTCTATTTGCGGTATAAAATCTTTATAAATTCAATCATAGAAGTTAAGTAACTTATTGACAATAAAAACGTTAATTCAAAACGTATTATTTCCTATTGGGTTTGTAGCGTTAGTATTTACAGACTAGTACATATAAAATAGAGTCGTAGAAGATAGAGGAAATGTATGAAACTAATAAATCAGTACCTGAGTGGTGACCCCTTCAATCTTCCGTTAGAAGAGTTATTTGAAGGAGATTGACTTTGAAGTCTCGTTGAAGGTGATGTGTTGAGAAGTCTGTCTGTTGCGCTGGTGTTCGATGGTGAATTACTGCGTAGTCGACCTGTCACAATATTTAAAAGTTGACATCATGATTAAAACCCATACATTTCTATACATTTTTCATTACTTAATGAACAAATATCCCAAACTGATATAAGTATGAAAGTGGTCATTGGCCTATTCTTATGTGACATAAACCTATGTTCTAAAAATATTTCGTTTCATTTTTAGATTTAAGTGATATTTTTTTGTAAAATAATCCTGTTTTTTAAGTACAAAAAACAGTGATATATTAAGATATATTCAGAAAATACTAAATTAATGTATTTTAGACAATTATTATTAATTAAGACTTTTGCAAATGACCTTGAAAAACAGTCTAAATAACACCTTATTTACCTTCAGGATATTGTAATTACCTGTAGAGTTAGCTGGTGAGTGTGGTCTAAGGCGACTAGTAGACGGTGACTGCCGGGACATACCACCGATAGCTGCTGTTGTTGGAGAGTGAAGTAAGCCATCTTCGGGAAAACCTAATAAATTAGTAATTATTGTTTGGTTTTTATAGCATGAGATTTCAAAGATACCCCTAAATTGAAAAGTTTCATGAGGATGTTAAGCTAACGCTTGCCATACTACAGTTATGATCAATAACAGTAATGAATTTGAGAGTGCACACATGGAATCAATAAATATAAGTTCTAATGGTGGTGGTAAGTGAACTTTATACTATATATTATATAACTTTATACTAAGAAATAAAGACACTTATTTGCCACCTTATTTGCCAGAAACTATACTTACACTTATTGGGCATACGAACCTCCATTATCGCTACTATCTGCCACACTCGCATTTCCCCTCCAGTAGGCAGCGTTCATATCAACGTGAACTGTTGGTGTAGGTACTTCGCCCCAGTTGTTATTCCACCTCTCACCGTTACCCTCCCAATTCCCATTACTAGTACCTTCCCCGTCCCACTTTTGGCTGGATCCATCCCATTTTTGACTTGACCCGTCCCACTTTTGGCTCGAGCCGTCCCACTTTTGACTCGACCCGTCCCACTTTTGGCTCGCACCGTCCCACTTTTGTGCGTTTTCAGCCCAATTTCGTATATTATTGGAATTATCTATCCAGGTCTCTCGTTCGGTCCAGTTGTCTGTTTGTTCACTCCAAGGCGTGACTACCGGCAGGGTAAGTCTGGCCCCAGGCGTCGAACTTCTGCGCCGTCTTTCCATGATGCTTTCGCGGGTTTCGCGTGATTTGTGTTCAGGCACCGCGTAGGTAGCTTCAACTAAAATTAATAAGTAGGCGTATGAACATTTAAAGTTTAATTTATACTTCCCGTATAAAGATTAATATATTTTACAGCGCTTAAGTCGTGGTTGTGATTTGAGATACGAATTAGAAATGGAGTAACAGTGCTTCGTATATGGCTACCTGTAGAACTAAATGAAAGCATGAATATACACCGTTCGAATAACATTCATATAAAAAATTCATGCGTTCGAGCTGTCAAACTGGCATAATCGTATAGATGCATACATTTGAAACACTTCTGAGTTTTTACTATTACTTCAGATACAAGCATTTTCGATTTTTAAATAATTATCCCATCTGCGTGTTTAATACCATTGCCGGCCTGGCCAGGGCTAATAGGATAAACAAACCTGAATTCATTTCATTTTGCCGGCGTGTGTCAGCTGCAACGGCAGGTGATCGAAGCTGTTCAGCTGTTGGGGTTTTACTTCTACCGAGCTGAGAATTCACTGCGATTGCTGGTAAAAACAAAAATATTTAAAGGAGCGATACAGATTTGAAAATCGAAAGGACGCATCATCTCTCTTGATTGTGATTGGTTAATATTAAACTATACATATCACTGCGTCACTTACTATTAGCTGGTTGAACTCTTGTAGCAGATCGACTTCTGGGTGCTCGTGTTATTGTATTCTTTCTCCACACTCGCAGTGTGGTTTCTGACATCGCTGGGCATTCTTTTAGCACCTAAAATGTAATATAAAGTATTAGATATATTATTCGCCGAAAATGTTTTTCTAAAAAAATCCACCGCACTTGCTTATAATAGGAAGTTCAATTATTAAAATTATACCTGCACAACACGTTGATGTGGAACATGACGTACATCTGTGTCTCCAATTTGAAGAAGTAAGTCACCTTCCCGCAATCCCGCGCATCTGCCGAGATCTAACACCTGAAAATATTATGCCATCTCCTATTATTCGTTATTTTTTATATAATTATAAAATTAAAACTGTCCACAACAGATTTTTTTTAACAGTCAACAAAACTCTACGTAATTGAAAAATTTTATATATTAAAAACACTCCACTCAAACATAACTGTTAGTTTAAATCAAGTCTTCTTTTCTCAATCATACTATGAACTTACAATAATAAGATTTTTCCCTTCAAACACAAATCAACTTAGGGGGCGTTCAAGTATTAATGTAACGAATTTTGGGTTCTTTTGTAAAACGTTACGATGCGGGGGCGGAGATTGAATTACGCGTTATTTTTAATATTATTTTCGGCTTTCCAGTATTTTACACCACATAATGGTAACTTTAAGGTATAAAGAGTCACTAGGTGGTCACGAAACGTTTTACTATACTCGGAAAACAGAAAAACGTTACGGCGCGCTACATTAGCGGGGGTGGGTGTCAATAATCTCCAAAAATTGCGTGACATAATACTTGAACGCTCCCTTATGCAGATTACACAAGTTCTGTGGAAGAATATTTAATTATATTTATATAATACCTTTTTGACTTTCTGTCCATGGACACTATCAGCTATGGTGAAACCAAATCCAGCTGCACCACGCCTCAATGTCAATACAAGCTCTCGCCCGGGTTCATTGGTCACACTACGGTGTTGGTGATCTAAACATAAAAATGCTGGTAATTCGTAATACAACATAGCACATATAGTTTTAATATTGTTTGCAGAACACTTGTGGAGATTCCATATCAATACTAAATACTAGAAAAACGTTTTAGAAAAAAAGCTAGATTTAAAATCACATTATAGATAAAGGTAAGGAACAGATTTATTTCTACTTTGTCTATGAGAGCGTTCAAGTATTACGTAACGCGTTTTTTGTCCTTTTGTAAAACGTTGCGATGCGGGGCGGGGTTTGAGTTACGCGTTATTGTTAATATTATTTTCGACTTACACCACATAATAGTAACTAAAGAGACACAAGGTGGTCACGAAACGTTTTACTATACTTGAGTACAGTACTGTACTAGGGTACTGAAAAACGTTACGGCGAGATACATGGGGGGGGGGGGTCAATAATCTCCAAAAATTGCGTTACGTAATACTTGAACGCTCCCTATACATACTTATTGAAATTGGTATGCATTACTTACACAATTTTCTATGAAGATGTACTAATAAAATGTACAAAAATTAATAAATCAAACAAAAAATTTACCAGTAGCCAAAGTGAGTAAATGGTCAGCAGATGGGCATCGTGGTGGTAGTGAGTTCGCTTCCGTTGCAGGAATTTCATCCAGGTCAAAACTACGGGATAAAAGCCGGCGTTGAGTTGGATTGACTTCACATGAGTTATCTGTTTCGTCGCGACTTTGATCGTTAGGGGAGTCTAAGTTAAACCTGAAAATTGTGGTTATTTTACCTAAGACGGATTTTTTTTGTTGTGTATGTTTTATTGAGAACAAATATTGAAATTGGATGATTATAACGAAAGAATATTTTAATATGGATTTTATTTATTTAAAGCTATTAATTAACTCATACATACAGAATACAACGGAACAATAGCACTTGTTGCTAACTTGTTACGGGTATTGATAACATCAAGACAATCATTTTTAAAGACAGAGAAATATAAAGATTCTTCAATAGCATTGCTTTGAAGTGGAAATTAGATATTGTAGAGTTGGTAAGTTAAAATTACAAAATGTATATATTTTTAATTTGTGTATGTGTGGTAAGTAAGAAGTGAATATATTAGAACAGAGCAGTGTTGGCCTAGTGGTTTCAACGTGTGTTTATCCCCGGCTGTGAATCAATGTACTGTCTATGTGCGCATTTAACAATGGCTCATACGGTGGAGTAAAGTATAGTGAAAAATGTATGCCTAAGACCCAAAAAGTCGACGCCCTGTGTTAAGCACAGAAGATATATTAGAATGTAAGACTGATCACCTACCTGTATTTTAAGAAAAATAATAATGTTCACGAAATATTTACAGAAAACTAAAGCCCAGATCTAAACAGGTTGTAGCGCCACTGGTTATTTATATATTAAAAAGTTAAACAAAAACCTAACTTTAATAATTCCAAAAGATCATACGCTCTATTTATAAACAAAAGTTGTAAAACCTATTAATCATGAGTTGTTTACTACTGGAGAAAATTTAATAATCGCCTTAATCAAAATACCTCGTCCGCAAAGCCCTAGTTAATTGCTGCATGGCCACTGCATCACTGCTAGCATCTACTGCTAATGTACTAAGCACTCTAGTGTTGGGGTCTTCAGAGTCAAATGATAGAGGATATCCTGAAATAACAAGAAAAATTTAAGGTAGTATTCCTAAACTTTTCTGAAGTTACATCTGTGTCTTAAGCATTGTGAAACATGTTAAACTCATAAATAAAATACATTGTTGGACTGGCCTCGTAGACAGGTTTTAAGTTTTGTTTCCCTTGAAGCTTATACGACTATTTAAATTTGGCATCATAAGCAGATTTAAGTGCCTAACTTTTTACAAAAAAGAATTTAATTGTATATTATTATTTCATTAATTCAATTAGGATTAATGTGAGAAACAATACAAACCTACGCCGTTTGTATCATACATCAAAATCACTAACACTGTTTGTTTACAATTATATGTAATAAAATCATGTCAAAACCGTAAATAGTATCTATCAGAATATTAAGTAAATTTTGTTTTTTGAGGCGAGGTCACCGAAATACTATTGATACAAAGATATGCCATAATATACAATGTGTAAATGTAGGACAAATATAATACCTCTAACAAAATGCAATGCGACGTCACTTCCGGCCGCTATCCCCTGGAAAATCTGTGCGACCTGCGCGTGCGACAATCCACGCACACCGCGATTGCCCACGCCTACTATTACGTCACCGGGCCTTAACGCACCTAAAATGTTATATATACATGAAACAATCATTATATTTAAAGAAAACATTTCTTAACGGATTGAAGTTATGTATTATTATAATTTTACTATTATTTTACATAATTTTAAATTTTCCGACGTTTCGCGTGCTTTACAGCGTGCGTGGTCACGGTGACACGGTTACGGTTATTGTAAATTTATAATAATACATAACTTCAATCCGGTAAAAAAGTGCTTTCTTTAAATGTATGAAAGTAATGTCAATAAAAGACAATTATTATATTATTGAGTAATCTTTAATTACAAATATACTTTATGTGTACTAGTACAAATATTATGAAAATATGAGAAATTGTAATAAGGAGTCTCACTTAAGTTCGAATCAAGACTAATGGTTCTTTCAAATAATAAATAATAAATTAATGGTAATCATGAAGGAAAAACATTGTGAAGAAATTAAAACTTAAAATGTCTTTTAAGACTCAAAAGTCAATTCTGTATGTGAGCCTCAGAAAATTTGTTCAATCTTCTTTCCTATTTAAAAAACAAATGAAGAAACCTCAGGCCAAGATAAAGGCTAACCAGCTAATCAGAGAACACTGCATTTCTGCACCTTCACTCATTATTTTAGATGTGTAAGTTAACTACAAAGCCACTGATGTGGCCCAGTGACTTCTTATAAGTTAATTAGCTTAAATTAAGTTAGTAAAGCTTTTAAATCTTACCATCTATCCAGGCTGGACTGTGTGGTACAATGCTCCTTATTTGGAGATATCCTTCAGTCTCTGGAGATCCTTCAGCACCAATCAAAGTGAAGCCCAGACCCTAACAAAAACAATAAAAGAAAATTATGATTTCCAAATCACTAAATTAAATTTAGTAATTAAAAATTAAAGGCAACAATTGTAGTTATTTTTGTTATATTAATAGGAAGTATCTTAATCACAGATCTCATAAAAAACATTAAATTCATTGTTTATGTGAGAAGTATCATGTATTGTTCTAATGGCTGGTTTTAAAATAACATCTATGCACTAAGTTGCTTTGTGTGAAATGATATAGATATAATATAACTTATGCAATGCAACAAACTGAATAGAGATTAAACCTTGGCTGAGAACTGTATACTAAAGTATTATACTCGGGTATTACTTAACTAGTCTTAATAGCATGTTGTAAAGCAAAAAAATGTTGGAAGTCAGTAAAATTTAGTTATCCTGCAGCCTCAAGGGCCTGGCCAATTTAAGAAACTTAAAATCTACAATATATACAAATGAATAATAAGTACCTGTGTTCCTTTAGTAAGAGTAAGTGAGAATCTTTCGCCACGTAACTCCCCAGTGGGCGTAGTACCATTTGATTGATTATTGTTGTTGTTTTCAGCTACTAACTTCTCAGCTGTAAGAAATCAAAATATAGTACTAAAAAGTCATAAGATCAACACAATGAAAAATTGTCACACAACTTTGACAGCTTTCTGTAAGATATTTGATACTAATACCTTATTAAAAACAGAGACAATGATCGTGATTTTGGCTTTTTAAAAGTTACACAGATTATAAGAATCTATACAAACCTCTTAATCGCCTAGCTTGAAGCACTGGATTCTCATACTGAGTCCGTCTGTTGATGTGGTCTACATAATATGATCCATATCTTTCATCTGTGACCCGTTCCCACCCATATGGAAGTTCATCTTCACCGCATTCTCCTAAAGAATGCTTCCTTACTCTAGCAAGACGGGGGTCTAGCCAGTGTGATGTACCAGTGTTGTAGCTAAAATATTAAAGTGATTATTCTTATCCTTGCATGCTCTCTATTGATGGTACAATTTTGATTACTTTCCAGATTTAAAAATAAATCCTATAATCCAGAGACACATAATGAATACTTCTTTCTTTAGGCTATTTAAATATGTTGAAGAAAAACACTATTGTTATATGTTACACATAACAAAAGTATTGACTGATTTTATTTCAAGTCGAAGTCAAGTCAAAAATCATTTATTCATATTGGTAATACAATGTACACTTATGAATGTCAAAAAAGAAATATACATTAAATGCTGCTAATTTTACATTTACTGCCAGTTCTCAAATCAAGGGCATACAATGGAAGAGAAGAACTGGCAATAAATGAAAACAAAAATATTATATGAATAAAAAAATCAATAAAGAAATATCTACAAATTATAAGTTGAAATGTGATTATTGGACTAGATTTAAACTAAATATTATATAAAACATTTGTAATATAAATGAATTACCCTTTTTCAGTATTTTTACTGTAACAAAATAAAACACGAAAAACCATGTTAAAACCCACCAGAAGCACTTAAAAACTGAAACTGTAACATGCTAAAACTGAAATTAGCACAACATCTGTTTACACTAGACTTCTTTAGCAAAATATTTACAATATGTGTCTGACTCAACAGATTTCTACTCATTGAATTGGTAATTTATTCATTTTATTATGAGTTATTGCCTTTACTATTAATAGAATATGCATAGTTCATTATGTTAGTGATGCAAATGCATTTAACATAAATAAACTTCCTTATTTTGATCAATGCATAATTTTTGTATTTGATTATGAAATATTTACTAAAATTCAAATACATTACTGGATGAATTAAGAGTGCTACCAGACCCAGTTAAGTGTGGTTGACCTTAGCTGATCAAAAATATCAAAGTGTTAAACTTTTATTTTATGATATCGGCAACACAATAAACATTATGATAATCTAAATATGTATAAGTATAATAAAATATCATGCCTATTGTAATTAATTAAAATAAATATTTTATATTGTGTATTATAAACTGTTTTTATATTTATTATTATATCCAATAAAACTTACTCTATAAAATACCTCTCTCCTGAAGGTGTAAAAGCCTTTTCCCACATTGGAGGTAATGGTCCTAAATAATCATCTTCATCCTCTCTTTTATGCCCTTGATCTCCAGCTCTTACACCAACCACAGATCCACCCACAGGACCAGCAGTTCCTGAACTGTGTGTGGAAATTCCAGCTGATGATAATCTATCAGAATCTACTGAACTTTGAGCCATTTCTTATTCTGGACAAAATCTTCTCATTATATTTACTTGTTTTAGTCTTGTATTGTACTTTTAAAACAATACTTCACCACACTGTTCCAACTTTTCAAATATATAACAGGCTCTCTTTAACGGTTAGCATTCTTCACTGTTTACTCATCGTATCTGTATTCCACAAAAACAAAACAATAGCGGCATACGGGCAAACCACTGACCAGTTATGACTCATTTTGGGTTCAGATGACTTGTCTATCACTTTTTGTCAATAAAACAGTTCCACGTAGCTGCGCTAACTGGATTTTCTTAATTCACCGTTCAACCATGTCATAATTACAATAGTACACTAAGTAATAAGTAGGTACTATGTTTCAAGCGACGATACTGCATTACGAACTGCAGGTGCATCGTAACGAATTCTTCAAAAACAACACGTTAGTATCTACTGCCCTCATTATCGTATTGGTAGATCAGATAACACAAAATGAGGTTTCGACTTTAAATGCCTTTTAACATGCTAATTAGATAACAAGTTCACTTTCTCACAGAAAACAGGTAAATTCTTATCGTTTGAAAGTAGGTGCAACAAGTTCGCTATTCAACTTTGAAGTTTTTGATGAGAGCGTAAACTGTAGAAATAACTTAAATTCAAAAACGAAACAAAAACCCGATGGAATTAAAATGTAGCTATCTCTTTCATAAGATGGAAAGAGAAAAATATACTTATGTAGGTTACATAAACTTGTTCTAGTTGATTAATCTGTGTTAAGATTCGAACGTCAAACCACCTGTCACTTTGTTATAATAACCAGTAACCTACTACTAGGTTTTTCATTCGGTATACCACGTTTTCAAACATAATCAATAAATATTGGACATATAAAAAGTTTAAGTTATTTTAAACTTCTTTAATTGAATATATTTGAATTGTTATCACGTGACATCTTAACAAAACTACCAAAATTTCTGGTTTTGGCAGAAACCAAATGTTTTGGTAGTTTTTCTTTGTTTTAATAGATGTCACTTTTACAATAAAATTAACGTTATATTCCAAAGTTATAAAAATTATAACGTACCTACCAATATTAAAAGTTTCAATTTAATGTATGACTGTAATTTAACACCTTAAATTTTTATAAAGCGACACCTGCGCTGCTACAAAAATCATATATTTTTATATTTCTCCCTTGATTGCGTAGATGTCACATTAAGAATCTTAAAATGAACTTTTTTCAAATATTCATAAATTTATATAAAGAATGTTTGAAAAAAGTAAGAAATAAAAAAAAAACGACATTATGCTTACCAACTACGTATGGTAGTGTGTCGTTGTTGGTGTAGTATAATTTAGCATAAAACATGTCCATCATTTTTAAAGATAGGAATGTGATCTTATATCAACCAGACACAATTTATATGCATTAACTACTAAACCACGAAGGAATAGGAATAACGTAATTATTGAAACGTGCTGACGTTTAGTAACTAAGCGAAATAATTTAGGTGGATATGAAAAAGTTTGTAATAGTATCCATGGTAGACAGTCAATGCTTTAATTTCAATGGCTCTTTAGTTAAATATTATTTTCAGTCTTTACAAAAATAACATAGGAAATCGAAATTCGTGTCTTACTAAATTTGTACCAAAATATATTTTCTATTTAACAGTAATTTATTGGCAACTACGATATTCCCGGCAAAAGCAGATATTGGTATTGACGATCAAAAAATATAATTTTACATCAGTGTATTGCCGCTTGCGTATTTTATGGCTTCCGTAATTAAACCTCTAGCAGACGCATTTGCTCATTGCTTTTATCATATACTTGTGACTTTATTGAAAGGCCTTTCCATATTACTTTCTGCACCGGTTTAATTGCAATTGCTTAGTCTATTTTTATATTTTCTTACATTATTATTATTATCATTAAGCTTTTATAGCTGACACCCAGTATAATATATTACCACTTATTTAAGTTACATGAGCAGCGTTGGCCTAGTGGCTTCAGCGTGCGACTCTCATCCCTGAGGTCGTAGGTTCGATCCCCGGCTGTGCACCAATGGACTTTCTTTCTATGTGCGCATTGCTAATCAGCGTGTCCTGTGTAGGCCATAGGCGATAGGGCTCTTCCAGCTGCTTCCATTCTTTTCTCATGTTAGCTCTTCTTGTCCAAGTTGTGTTTCCTATTCTCTTTATATCGTCTGCCCATCTCTTGCTCTGTCTTCCTCTTTTCCATCGCGTAGTTGTCACTTCTTACATCTTCTTACATCAGTCTGTTTTAAATATATATGATGAATGATAAATATTTTAGGTATCTTTTTTCATTTTATCTAAACGTCGACTGTACCGCCATCTGCCGGATTGATTTGTGAATCTATACCATCCAAGACGCCAAGAAAACGCATACAAAAAATTAATTCAAATCGGTCCAGCCGTTATTTTTAGTGTAATAGGAGGCAAACGGGCATAAGGCTCGCAAGTGCGTTTCCGGCCTTTAAAGTTTAAGAGGAGTTCAGTGACATACACACGTCCAGTAGAATTATATATCTATAGAAAGATTATCTGTACACAACGACCAGACCTTTATTTAAATATTTTATTAATATATTTCTGGACTAACCCCTCAATCTTTTCGAATTAACCTACTTTATTAAATCCTCTGTTGAAATCTCAATGTGCGAAGGATATTGTTACAAAAGAGCTTTTCACCCACGCATACATGTATTATTTGCTCAGTGTTGGCCGAGTGGTAAAGTGTGCGAATCTCGACAAGATTCGAATCTCGGCAGTGGACCAATGAAATTTGCAGGGTTTTATCCCTGCTTGCTTAACTTATGTAAATATATATTAAACATGACCGCCGCATGTTTAATTTAGAAACTATGGAACTTATTTATTCATACATTTCTGCAAAAAAAATTTTTAAAGGCTCTCCTAAAAACATGAAATGATTCAGTCTTCTATTAACACCATTAAAAATATCGAATAAAAATACCAAAGAAAACTATAGTTAATTATAAAAAAGAATCTCACACTTAATAATTATAATATTTCAGACTGAGAAAAACCCATGTAAAGTGTAGTTTTCAATAGTAAACTAGCAATGCAAACACATGGCCCATGCAGAAGTTATTGTTATAGGAAGTTTATTAAGTAAAATAAACATGAAAGCTTATAAGATAATAGATTTAAAAAAAAACATAAATTTGTTAAAAAATGTTTTCACATGCATAAACAATAATGGAATATAATCGAGATTTATGATTATCTCCTGATGATTGACTGAGAAACGGGGTGTATTATTATTTTTTAAACTCTATCCAAACTTGTCAGTGAGAACCAGCCCTTGAGAGTATGCTGTATGACGCGGTCAAAAATACATCACACATTTTCGACCGGCACCTAAATTTTACATTACGTGAAACAGCTTTAGTCACGTTTATCCTCTGGTTCAGTACAGACTCCGTGGTCTAAACTTAAAATCAAATAAGAAATCGTAAAAGAACTGGCAACATTTCGCGAGTGCGTTTCCCGCCTAAAAAATAGACTGCTTCAACGCAAAGTAAGTGCATTGGCGTATTTTTATCTAATTTTTGTGAATCGTGTTGTGTATTAATAAAACGGTGAAGTATTAAAAAAATTAAATGTAAACCAAGATTAATTGGGCAATGCTGGATTTTCAGCGACCGCTTTATTACATGTAATTCTTGGAAGCGTCTGACATTCGAGTGTGTTGTGTCGATTATTACGTTGAAATACATTAAATTGGGCTTGGCAGGACAGCTAGATATTGTAAATATAATTTTAGGCCCGGAATGTCAACATGTTGTAATCGGGTACGAAATCCTGCTATTTTCGGGATTGGAATCTGTTTTATAAAACTTTGTGTAACTCGTGATTTATGAACTACGGTTGACATCCACATAAAACTTGTGAATCTTATTAGAATGAGGTTTTGGTTATCTTACACAGACTTTAAACTAAAATAGAAATATATATTTTAAACTTTATTCTAGATTCCACATATTTTCGAGAATAATAATAAAGTAAAAGTCTTGCCTTAAACGTTTTAATGTTGATTGTGATGATGATCAGGAAAAATGAAAACTAAAGTAAATTTAAAGTTAAATTAGACATAATCTTTAAGTTCATATCATAAAGTTTTTTAATCTGTGCTTTACTAGAAAATCCTTCTCACGCCTATACTTAATATTATAAAGAAATATTTCATTGATAACTTTTTTTGTAACGAATACACTCAAAAACTACTAGACCAATTTCAGAGTAAATGTTATGTAAAAACCATTCACCGTTAAAATACTAAATTCAGGGGTACTGAATGACATAGGCTATATTTATCTCCAATATAATCAAAACAATAAATGTGAAGCCGTGATAAGCTGGGACAAGTCAAAAGATCTGTTCTTATCTTTATATATATTACATATATTATGTGTAATCAAATCTAATTTCATCGAAGTCTTTTGAGTGGTGTAGAATCACGCGTGAACGATGTAAAATCAACAAAATGCTATTTATGCTTGCGAGAATTTGATCATAATGCCAATTTATAAAACGTAAACAATTTCGATAATAATTTGAGTGATTTCGATATCATCATGTTTGATAAGTTTTTATTTTACCGGGGATTTTAAAATAATGTTAGTGGTATTAGGTACTACATTCATATAACTTTCTTGCATAGCGACATGTTTATCATGCTAAAAATTGCAACAAATTATTAATTTAATTTAAATAACAGAATTATTTCATGCTATGATTGCATGATATAATAACTGGAGTTTATTAATTATTTGATATATAATACTTAGGAAAGTAACAGAAATATTTTGAAAGTATATAAAATAATATATGTAATTACTAGTTACTACAACGACTTAGTTCGCATAGAAACAGGAAAGCGTAGTTCAAAGGTCAGCGCTCAGAGTAGGAAATTTTTTTTTCTAGATACCTTAATCACCTGGATGTATATTGTATATACTTTACGGATTTTT